AGGCTTTCACGCATATGTTTTCAGACTTTTTTTAGATTATATGGATTCGAAAATTAGTCAAACAGATTTGATAACATTACTGTTAACTGATATGTATTTTTACCACTGTTTCACTGATTTGAAAAAAAAGCTTTGAATAATTTTCTTCACAGCATACTTAAACCTGCTCTACCACTTAATTAAATTGGCTTCAGTCATATACCCGCCACTAAAATGTAGCGACAGAGAAGTACCAAAATCTGGCCCACTTTCACCAAGGCGAAATATGCGAGTTAGTGCTTCAGCGAAGCTAATGCGCAGCAACCGCAGACCAGTCATACCAACTTTTAAATGAAGATCAGAACAGAGACGTTCGAGTGGAATTCACAAAGCTAAACAAGCGATACACGATGAAACTAATGCGCGAGGGGGATGAAGTCTGTGAACAACACTGGCAAATTTCTGAAACACTTCTAGCTCCATTTCAAATTCCTGGGTTTTGATAGCCAAAATCAAGATCTCTCCGCACTCGCTCGCTATGAGAGCCAGATGGGAAGTATTCCAAGGGTAAAATGTGCCAACAGCGACCACCTGTTGAATGGCTGTTGACGACTACTTAAATAAATTTTCCAAACATTTTTGAGTTCGATGCTTTTTTGAACAGTTCTTTTTTTTAAGGAGTGAATATGGTTATTGCTATTTCGCTAAATGTCCGGCACGCTAGTACACGCAACGAACGCCAGGCTTGACAATAGGCTGACCGCTAGACGATGCAGCATTGGTCAAAGCAAATGAAAGATTTGCCGGCTGCATAATTGTTTAGCAAAGAACGAACAGCAGCTGATCGAAGTACCAAAGCATTTACCGTCTTTATCCGTTTTACGAAGGATAAAATCGCCTTCATCTCTGAGCAGTGGGTTGATGTCTGCATGTGGAAGGAGCCCGTAGTAGAAAGCCCGGTTCAATTCTCGCTCCACCTCTTGAGGGTCGCCCATTTCGCTTCACCAGTGCCCTTTGAAGAACGAGAATTTAATGACAATGATTAGGAAAAGTAATAAGTGCCACTGCGGAAAATATGCCCAGACTGCGACTCATTTTTAAGTTCGAGTTAGAGGAAATTGTGACCATTCGTTTTTATGGTAAATTGATATTCGGGGTCAAGCTTGCCGTCAGATTGTTGCTAGGGAATTCGCAGAAAGAGAAGTTACTGACAGCTTTGTTAGACTATGTTTGCTGTTATTACGCGTTACTATACTCGGACTGTTTCCGAAAACTTTTAAATGATTATGGCATG